ACTACAGGCGTGTACCACTGCACCCAAGAAAGCTTCTCCAGGATAACCCTGATTATCCTTTGAGTATGATTATTAACTGTTTGAAAAATGTAGTTAACTGTCCTAACATTCAGCCAGCCCTCTCCTCAAGCACACTCTGGCAGACTCTTGAAGAGCCTGTGAATTCCCAGCCCAGGCCTTTAGTCTTCTGTAGAGACAGGGTTTCACCATGTGAAACCATGTTGGCCAGGCTGGCAAAGAGATCTTAAGCATATAAGAAGCGGCTCAAACTCTCTCACGAGAAAAATGTAAATTAAAACACACTGATGTGCCAATTTCCATTTAACATATTGGCAAAGATCACAAAGTTAACTGGGAACACACTCTGGCAAGGGTTTGGGGAAACACCCATACTCCTGGTGGGAGCAAAAATGGATATAACATCCATGAAAGAACTCAGCATTTCTGCTTCTTGGAATTTATTCTACGAATACTCACTGACGTGAAGAATGACATGTCCACGTGGCATTTTATACAAATATATGTCTGTTTCATGGCAGCAAAAGATAGAGCATCAACCTAAATATTCATCATCAGGGACTAGTTTAAAACATTATGATATAATGAGCTTCTAGGCAGCTGTCAAAAGAGAATGAGGAAGCTCTGTATGAACAGAAATGGAATGATCTTCAAATTCTGCCAACTCCACCTTCAAAAATTATCTAGAATCCAACCACTTCTCCAAAACACCTTAGTGGAAGGTATCATCTTGTCTGGCTGAATCTGCTTCCTAGCTGCTGTGTCTACTACCCTCACTTTGTCTATTCCCCAGGAGCAGTCACACGGGTACTATTAAAACATCAATTATGGCCGGGCGCGGTGGCTCAAGCCTGTAATCCCAGCACTTTGGGAGGCCAAGATGGGCGGATCACGAGGTCAGGAGATCAAGACCATCCTGGCTAACCCGGTGAAACCCCGTCTCCACTAAAAAATACAAAAAAAAAAAACTAGCCGGGCGAGGTGGCAGGCGCCTGTAGTCCCAGCTACTCGGGAGGCTGAGGCAGGAGAATGGTATAAACCCGGGAGGCGGAGCTTGCAGTGAACTGAGATCCGGCCACTGCACTCCAGCCTGGGTGACAGAGCCAGACTCCGTCTCAAAAAAAAGAAAAAAAAAAAAAAAAAAAACCCTCAATTATGTGACATCGATTACCAGCTTAAACCCCTCCAGTGGCTTCCCACCTCACCGAGTAGAAACCATGGGCCCTACCTCACTGCCCCCGCATCCCCCAGCCATCCTCTTTCACTCTATTATTACTCTGACCTCATTCCACTTTCCAACCTCACTGGCCTCCTTGCTTTCCTCGAACACACCGAGAATGCTCCTGCTTCAGGATCTTGGTACTTGCTGTGACTGGTCCCCAGAACTCCAATAGCTCTCTCTCAACTCTTTAGGGTCTTTAGAGTCTATTCAACGTCACCTTCTCAGCAAGAGCTTCTTTGACCACTGTAATTAAAATTGCACAAACACACACACACACAAATGTAGTAACATGGTAGACACGGGTGTTCTAGGTGTAATTCTTTCAGCTTCTCTGACTGTTCAAAAATTTTCATTATAAAATACTGAAACAGGCCGGGCGCGGTGGCTTATGCCTATAATCCCAGCACTTTGGGAGGCCAAGGCGGGTGGATCACGAGGTCAGGAGTTCAAGACCAGCCTGGCCAACATGATGAAACCTTGTTTCTACTAAAAATACAAAAATTAGCCAGGCGTAGTGGTGCATGCCCGGCTACTCAGCTACTTGGGAGGCTGAGGCAGGAGAACTGCTTGAACCCGGGAGGTGGAGGTTGCAGTGAGCCGAGATGGCGCCACTGCACTCCAGCCTGGGGCAAGACTCCATCTTGAAAAATAAATTAATTAAAATTAAAATTTAAAAATTCAAAATACTGAAAACCATACACCCACACAAACCTATCCCTTTCCTTATTTTCCCACTGTTCTCACCATCAAATATACACTACCCCCTACCCCCTACCCCCAAAATTTCTAGGATACAAACCCCACAAGGGCACGGCAGAGATTTCTGCATTTTGTTTACTGCTCTATCTCCAGCTTTGTAAAACAGTGCCTGTCAATCACTGCCAACATCAAATTCCTGGTTTTACTGTAATAATGGAAGATGTAACCACTGGAGGAAACTGGCTGAAGGACAGCTTGCCATCCCCACCCTCTCAGCAGCATCTCCGCAACCTCCTGTGGAGCTAGAGTTACACACACACACACACTTTTTTTTTTTTTTTGAGACGGAGTCTCGCTCTGTCACCCAGGCTGGAGTGCAGTGGCCAGATCTCAGCTCACTGCAAGCTCCGCCTCCCGGGTTTACGCCATTCTCCTGCCTCAGCCTCCCGAGTAGCTGGGACTACAGGCGCCTGCCACCTCGCCCGGCTAAGTTTTTTGTATTTTTAGTAGAGACGGGGTTTCACCATGTTAGCCAGGATGGTCTCGATCTCCTGACCTTGTGATCCCGCCCGTCTCAGCCTCCCAAAGTGCTGGGATTACAGGCTTGAGCCACCGCGCCCGGCCACACATATATTTTTTTGAGACGAAGTCTCGCTCTGTTGCCCAGGCTGGAGTGCAATGGCGCGATCTCAGCTCACTGAAATTTCCACCTCCTGGGTTCAAGCAATCCTCCTGTCTCAGCCTGCTGAGTAGCTGGGATTACAGGTGCTTTCCACCACATCCAGCTAATTTTTGTATTTTTTTTCTAAAGTAGAGACGGGGTTTTCACCAGTTTGGTCAGGCTGATCTCGAACTCCTGACCTCAGGTGATCCATCCCTCTCGGCCTCCCCAAGTGCTGGGATTACAGACGTGAGCCACCGCGCCCAGCCTGTGTCTACTATATAGTCAGTACATAAGAAACATCTGCGGAATGAATAAATCCCCATGACAGTGAAATTGATTTATATTAAGTGATAATTTACTACCATTTGCATCTAAAAATTATATATATTTGTATGTGCATACACTATCTCCAGATGAATATGTAAAAACTGATCATACTGGCTGCTCTGGCAGAAAATCTCAGTGGCTAAAGAGACTTTTCAACAAACCTTTTGCACCTCTTGAATTGTGAACCACGTGGATGTTTTACCTATTCAGAATACAATTCAAATCAGAAAAAATTCTGTTAGCCTCTTCCCCAGAATCGATGTCAACTTTACCAATCTAGTTTCCAGAAATCAGGTTATTTCCCTTTCTGAAAAACCATTATTGCACTTTTCACACTCTACACCCTTGTCCTTGCAGTGATCCTTCAACCTTCCAGGGCCTTCTCCACCTACAAGAAATTCCTCTTGAACTCAGAGGAGGAAAAAAAAAGCTATAAGACATTTTAGGAATAGGAAAATTTTAATATCACAATTATCACTGGATTACTGTTATTTTTCTTAGGTTTGATAACAGTATCATGATTATGCAGAAAAACGTCCTTAATCTTAGAAGATAATTTATGTTAAAGAATTTGGGATGGGAAGGGCCACGATGTCTACAACTGACTTTCACATGGTCCCATGAAAACAGAACTGTGTAGAAAGACAGATGTATAGATTAGACAGATACATGGTATAATAGAGATACGTCTACATGTAGACATGCAGTTTATAGGGATAAAAGTTAACATGACTAAATGTTAATTGGCAAATCTAGGCAAAGGTTATCTATTGTACTGTTCTCACTTTTCTGCTTGAAATTTTTCGAAATAACAAGTTGAGGGGTAACTTTTTAAAATCCTACTGAAGTTTCCAAAAATTAGCTCAAATGCCACCTCCTCAAAGGGCTCTTTAAGATAAATGTTGGGAAAAATGACTCCCTCTTCTGCATCGCAAAGGCACTTTACCTATGTTCATGATTAAATTGACTGAGTAAAAAAATCACGGGGCCCCTAGTTCAAGCCCACACCTTTGTACCCTCTCACAGACACATCTCTCGGTTCATCCTCACACATCCATCCCAGCAAGGCCTAGAACAGGATTACTGCTTAAAGAAAACAGATACTGGGATGGCCGGGTGCAGTGGTTCACACCTGTAATCCCAGCACTTTGGGAGGCCGAGGCAGGTGGATCATGAGCTCAGGAGTTCAAGACCAGCCTGACCAACATGGTGAAACCTCATCTCCACTAAAAATACAAAAATTAGCTGGGTGGTGGCGGGCGCCTGTAATCCCAGCTACTTATTAGAAGGCTGAAGCAGAGAACTGCTTGGACCCAGGGGGCGGAGGTTGCAGTGAGCCGATATCACGCCCACCGCACTCCAGCCTGGGCGCCAGAGCAAGAGTCTATCTCAAAAAAAGAAAAAAGATAACACACTGGGTGGGGAATGTCCACACCTCAAGAGTGAGCAGGAAGGCCTGGGGTGAGCTTATCAAACTCCTGCCAGGCAGTTGTGGGGGAAACCGTCATGAGGACCAGCCCCAAAACAGCTCATTCCCAACATACTCACTACGGACGTCCTTTTATCTTGGAGTAAGGTCCAAATTTCCCAGAATTCAATGACTGAACTGCTCCACACCTTTTCCTAATTTTCTAAACTTCCATAGGCTGAGCAATCACTCAGCCTGCCCTTTCAGACCAAGGGGCCGTATGTGTTTGAGCACGCACACATGTGGGTATGTGTGTGTTGACACAGGTCCACTCACTAGGAGACTTAATCCCATACATTCTCCACACGTTTCCCACCCCGAATACAAACACGAAAGCAGGGCTGTCTCTATAACTCCTCATTCTCAACCCTACACACAATTCTGCACGTTTAGCATCCAGCCAGAAACCTACAATTCTGACACCATTGTGCTGAGTGACGGGACAGTCCATTACCCCCATATGTCAATGGTTCCTCTCTGGATCATTGACAAGAGGACAGCTATGGAGACATCTGGGGAATACTATGGATACCCTGAAAAGCCCAGCAGACACCTGAGCTTCTGGCTGGGGACCCAGGTGTGGCAAAAGGCAGAAGCAGTGGTCGCTATCTAAGGACATAAAACTTTATTGGAAACAAAGAGTGGGGTGCAGAAGATGGCTAGGAGTCAGGCTCTGTGGGAGGCGGTGGCTTCTCATCATCAGGGGGACAATCGATGAAGTCGGCCAGCATGGCAGCTGTGTCATCCTGCTCCTTTTAGGCACAAAGATACAAGATTCAGAATAGTCATACACACACACACAGAAGAATGATTCAGGCTGGGCAAACGTCTCCTAAGATAAGCGGCTGCCACCCACTCTCCCGGCAGCCCCACCTTCTCACCCAAGGTGCCTTCCCTGCCTGGCCCTCTCACCTTTTCCTGGAGAGCTTCAGCCTCTGTCTCTGTCTCCATCTCTTCCTCTGCAGGTGTCTCTGGTGGGGGCTGTACCCTGTCACCCCCATCCTCAGTTCCCTCTTCCAGCAGGGTTGGGGGAGCAGAGGGCTCTTCTTCAACAAGCTCTTGGGGAGGGGGGCCTGCCGAGGGGCTCCCCTCTTCCCTCTCCACCTCTCCCTGGGAGGGGAGCACTTCAGGGGCCAGGGTGGGAGCTGTGTCAGCCCCATGCTCCTCCTCTGCCCCTGGCTCCTCCACTTCCAACAGCAGCCCGGGTTCTGGTTCTGGCTCAGGCTGCACCTTTGGGGGAGACTCAGGGGGAGGCAGAGCTGGAGGCAGGGTTGGGGGTGGAGGTCCACCTTCTTCTACCTCCCCTCCTGCTGTGCCAAACTCCAGCTCTTCCACCTCTTCCAATTCTTCTTCCTCCTCCTCATCCTCCTCCTCTTCTTCTTCCTCTAACTCACCTTCTTCTTCCTCAAACTCTTCTTCAAACTCTTCTTCTTCCTCTTCTTCCTCTTCAAAATATTCCTCTTCATCCTCTTCCTCTTCCTCAAAGTCTTCTTCCTCTTCCTCTTCTTCCTCTTCTTCTTCTTCCTCTTCTTCCTCTTCCTCCTCCTCTTCATCACTGCTGTTGATATTAATAACCGTCAAATCCTCTTCCAGGGCTGGGGGTCCACCCCCACCAGGAGTCCCTTCAGGGACCAACTGGGGTGGAGGGAGCGTCACAGGACCAGGAACAGGCGGGGGCGGAGGTGGGGGTGGCGGGAGAGGCCCTGGGGCTGCAGGAAGTTCTTCAGGCTCCTCTTTGGCTGGCACAGGAGGGGAGGCTGTTGGTGGCCCAGTGGGGGCTATAGGGGGTGGTGTGGCACCTGAGGGTGGTGGGGGTGGCAGGGGGGGAAGCCCCTCGGGCACGATCACCACGCTGTCATCAGAGTCACTTTCCAAGGAGATCTCCACATCAGATGCCTCCTCCTTATCATAGTGGACAAATGCTGGTCTGGGCACTCTCCCCCCAAAAGTTTCATCTGGGGGTATAGTAGGTGGGGGAGTCCCACTAGGGGCAAGGATGGGGTCCTCATTTGAGCCTGACCGGTGGTTCTCGGGGCCAGGAAGAAGCCGGGGAGGGACAGACACTAGGCCTGAGACAGAAAGGCCTAGGTGGTTGGCTGTGGTGGGAGGTCCAGGGCGTGCCGAGGGCACAGGGCCTGCTGAAGGCATGGGTCCTGCTGAGGGCATGGGCCCTGCTGAGGGCATAGGGCCCACTGAGGGCATGGGGCCCGGAGGATGGAAGGGTGGGGCCCTGAAGGGCGATGGGGCCTCAGGAGGGGGAACTGGAGCAGGTGTGGGGCAGGTGGGGCCCATGGGCTGCAGGGGAGGAACCCGGGGGTGGGTCAGAGCAGCACAGGTCACCAGTGCTTCTGAGCAGAAAGAGGAGACCTGAGGAAAGAAGAAAGGGCAAGTGTGAGCACCAGGAAACAAGAGACTCCAGGAACCAAAGAGGGTTTGGCCCATCACAGTTACCTCAAGGCTATCTTCTCGCTGGCCGAGGGAGAAGGCTTGCAGGGCACAGGCAAGAGGAGGTGGGCAGCGAGGAGAAGGGGCCAGCAGCAGTGCCAGCAGCAGGCAGTAGAGTTCACGACGGCAGCGGGAGCTCGTGTACGGGGAGCTGCCTAGGACCTCACCCTGCTGGACACCCATGACCAGGGGGAGGACCAGATCATGCAGTCTCTGAAAAGCACAGAGCACACCTGGAAACATCCCCAAGACCACCCAACCCTTCTCCAGAGCCTACTCCCAGGTCTGAATGGACCCACCTCTGGGCCACACCCCCCAGTGTGTACAGAGCAGGGGCCCCTCCTTCCCCCATCTCCTCATTAGTGGACGAGGCTCCACTAACCCTGTGAGTCTCCTCCTTGATGAGAGGTCCACACATGAGGATGGTCCGGCTGAGGCCTGGGGAAGAAGAATGGTGTGTAAAGAGAAGGCTCCCAACAGGACTGACAGCAAGGGCTTCTGAAGCACATAGCCCAACGTGGGCATCAACTCTGCCACTGCCTATCTTGGCCAAGTCATTCAACTTCTCAACTAGAAAATGGGGATCATAAAAGTACCTCTACAGTATAGGGCCACTGACAGTATTTAATTGAGACAACGTAAGTAAAAAATTATAAATTTTATAATTTTGCATTTATATATTTGGGGACAATCAGTTCTCCCCTTCCCATGGGATAGGGTGGCAGGCAGTGAGATATATGGGACTCAGAGGAAAGTCATCCATTAACTGCACAGTATCCGACTAGTAACCTCTGTAGACAGGTCAGTGGTTACGGTGAGAGCAGGGAGCTGCTCCTCCAGGCAGCCTACCCTACGGAGAATGTCGACTTCACAGGGAGGAGGCTTCCCCACGTGCTAGAACTCTGCCCGATAGAAAGTGGATGCACCAAGAATGTGCTGAACGCAGGAGGAAGCAGAGGCCTTGGAGGGGCAGTGTCAGCTACCAGAGTCCCCGGTCTAACCGCAGGACCTGAGGCCGCCTGCAGCCCTGGCAACAGGGCGGCTGCTTGGGCGCCTCCTCCTGGCCTCTCTGCAGGCTTCTGCCCGGCTCTGCATTTTACAGGCACCTTCCCCTTCACCCGCTGTTTGGGCGATCACTTATCACGGTGGACAAAGGCTGGTCTGGGCACTCTCCCCCAGAAAGTTTCATCTAGGGGTATAGTAGGTGGGGGAGTCCCACTAGGGGCAAGGATGGGGTCCCATTTGAGCCCCAGTGGTCCAGGGCACAGACCTCACCCACCTTTGAGTGCAGCCGCACACACATCACTGTTGGCATTGCTATCCCCTTTCCGGTGGCTTGGCGGGGCCATAGCTTCGCCCACATCCAGCTTTAGCTTCTTGGGGGCGCTGGGCTTCCCAGTCTGCAAACTCCCATCAGGGCTCCCCCGCGGGCTACGCAGCTGGTGGCAGAGGAAACATAAATCACATCCACAGGCAAACAAGAAGGCAGGACAGCCGCAGTAGACAGTGCTGAGCAGGCACATTTGGTCAAAGGGCACAGGATGAGTCCTGAGATGGAGCCGAGGCCTCCTCACCTTAAGGGCATCAGCTGGCGGTGAGATGTCACTGAGCAGGTGGGTGAGCAGGGCCTCTCCAGAGGCTCCTCCCTGAAGCATTCCCGCCGAGGCCCCACAAACCTGCACCCACAGCTCTAACACCGCGTACACCTTGGTCCGAACCGTGCTGTGCCATGAGCAAAGAGGACGGATATGAATGGAGTGTCAACATGCCAGAAGCCGCAGCCCACCTGCACCCCTCACCCCCTCTCATCTTTATTCCCTTCCTGGATGGTCACCTGTAAGGCCTCTCCTGGCCGGGAGAGAGGGAATCTCTACCGATGCTCCAGGAATTGAGGACCTGGGGAAGCAGGCGGCTGATCAGGATCCCAAAGCGCAAGAGCCGGCTTCCACATCTGGGGCAGAGAAGGAACAGTGACCCTTGTTTCTGGCACGCCCCCATCCCTTCACCACAGCCAGCCCAATCCCACTCACGCGAGGATGAGTGCAGACAGCAGGTCCAAGGCCTCAAGGTGGATAGAGGGCAGCAGCAGCAGCCGCAGGGGACCATCTCCATGCAAGCTCTGGAGAAAAAAGTGGCAAAGACAGAGTAGGGGAAGAAAGTGAGAGCCAGAGACAGAAACAGGGACAGACTATTTACATATGTACACATAGGTAAGAAACCTACCCCCGATCTCAACTCTCCCAACAAAATCAAACCCCTATCCTCTAAAACAGACCCTGGATGGAAGGTAAGAAGGATAGCTGGGCCTCTCAGCAATGATTCAGCTGATCCCCAAATTCACCCTCCCCCAAGGAAGCATTTGCTACACTCTGACAGTGTGCACCTGTGTTGGGACACACAGAGTAACAATATTTGGACAAAAGTAGGAAGCTGTCTGGGACGATCCAGGATGACACTGTTCGGGGAGACTCAGGTCCCCAGTACTTTCCTGGTTGCCTGGTGTCCTGAGCAAGGGCTGTGAAGAGATGACAAATCCCACTTACAATATTCTTGCTACTGACGCTGAGGGTCCGGCAGATAAAATCCAGGATTTCCTGCACAGGGACGGACACGGGAGCTCCAAACTCAGAGCTAAAGAGAATCAGAGCAGGGAGACCCTCAGAGCAGGCTCCCTGGTATAACTCCCACACCCACCTTCATCTCCTTTCTCATGATGAAGGTGACACTCTCTCATCAACCCCTCCTGCTCCATGCCTCCGCTCCCTCCAACACCCCCACACACCTGAGCATGAGCCCTAGGCAGCGGGCCAGTCCCGAAAACCTCTGCCGAAGCCGGAGAAGGACATGGGCATCGCCATCTTCTGAGGACAGCAGCATCTCCACCCCAGGGCCTTCGTTCTGCACAGGAGCTGGGCAGAAGCACAACTACCCTGTACCCTGTCTTTCTTCCATCCCCTCCTCTGTCATTTCTGGTGGACAACCTGCCTGTATTCTAACCCATTAGCCCCAAAAACCAACTGCCCCTTGTCTCTGGGCTCCCTCCCGTTCCTTCCTGCCACACTTCCTCAGCATTGTTGCACTGACTAGCAGCCCTGGTCCCTACCGGTCTCTGCTCCCTCATACAGGGCCCCCAGCAGGGTGTGTAGTGAGGCCAGCAGACTGTGTAGCTCCTGCTCCCAGCTCTCAGTGTGCTTCAGGCCTTGGGAAAAGCCAGCCCCTAACGAGGGCAGCCGGGAATAACACTCACAGGCCAACTGCGGGACAAAGGACAGAAACCTGGTCAGATGGGGATCCAGCCCAGCCACAGAACCCCCAGCCCCACTAACGCCCAAAAGAGATGGAGATCAGAGAGCTCTGAGGGAAACCTGAGATGGGACAATGAGGCCAAAGGACCCAGATGGGTACATGAAGGCAGGACAGAAAAGCTGAGGAGGAGCAGCAAAAGACACTCCAGACTCAGATCCCCGGGCTCTCCCTCTCCCTCCCTGCCCTTTACCTGTTGGAGCTGAGGGCTCAAGGCATCCACCCTAGACAGAAAAAATGAGGCCAGCTTGCCCTGGATGTGGAGGGAAAAAGGAAGAGGCCGGTGAGCCAGCTCTGAGAGCCAGAGATGTACACCCCATCTGTTCCCAGCAGCAGACTCTAAGCCCAGGTCTTGTTTTTCCTGTAGACACAAGAAGCAAAGCCCTCTATGGGGCATCAACACCGGGCACGGACATGCTTTCAAGGTAGAAAGACTCCTCAACGCCAGCTCTGGTCCTCGGCTTCCTGCCTGCAGGGAAAGGCGTCTGGCCCTGTCCCACAGACAACTGGGCTTCCTCCTTGACAGTTTTTGCAAAAATTTTCCCTCAAGTCAAAAGGACCTAGTACTAAAAAACAATCTCCACACTCCAACTCTCTACCAGCTCACACACAAAAATGAGGGTCCAAGCTGGAAGTTAAGACACTAACCAGAGGTACGAGGGCAGGACAAGGTCAAAAAAGAAGGCTGGCTGCTAGAGCAGAAGTAAGGCAGCAAGTCTCGGGGTAGCGATCTGTCATTCAGCACTTTCTCCGCGTGCTGTGTGAAGGTGCTAGGGCAGGAATGTCTAACCTGAGAACCACAATTTAGTTGGGTATACAATCAAAGGGGCCTGTGAACATGGATGGGGAAAAAAATTACTCCCACTAACCTATTTGTGAAATGTAGTGTTTTCTTTACTTATAAATGCAGACAAATAGCCACAGTAGTATCAGCAATACCTGTGACTGTCAGTAATAGAATCATTTTCATGTCACATTATAATTGTAACACATCCTGAAATATCATTCACATGAATCACTAATTTGCAATTACAGTTGATGTAAGACCTGCTCCTAGATCTTATTACTTAACATGTCAATAAAAAAGCACAGGCTGGGTGCAGTAGCTCACACCTGTAATCCAGGCACTTTGGGAGACCAAGGCAGGCGGATCACTGGAGCCAAGGAGTTTGAAACCAGTCTGGGCAACATGAAGAAACCCTATCTCTACTAAAAATACAAAAACTTAGTCGGGTGTGGTGGCATATGCCTGTAGTCCCAGTTACTTGGGAGGCTGAGGTGGGAGGACCGCCCAAGCCCAGAACCGAGATCACGCCAGTCAGTGTACTCCAGCCTGGGTGATGAGAGTGAGACCCTGTCTCAAAAAGAAAAAAAAAAGGCCGGGCGTGGTGGCTCATAGCTGAAATCCTGGCACTTTGGGAGACTGAGGTGGGTAGATCACGAGGTCAGGAGTTCACGACCAGCCTGGCCAACATGGTGAAACCCCGTCTCTACTAAAAATACAAAAATTAGTTGGGCACGGTGGCAGGCACCTGTAATCCCAGCTACTTGGGAGGCAGAATTGCTTGAACCCAGGAGGCAGAAGGTGCAGTGAGCCGAGATCATGCCACTGCACTCCGGCCTGGGTGACAGAGCAAGACTCCTTCTCGGGGGAAAAAAAAAAAAAAAAGAGTAAGGCAATAAGACAAGCATACAGAAAAACAAGAATCTGGAGCCAACACTGGCAACACAGAGAGAAGGGGAAAGAGCAGACTCACGTTTTCCCCGAGACATCCTGGTGGCGCACACCTGTACCCTACCTAGCTACTTGGGAGACTGACACGGGAGGATCACTTGAGCCCAGGAGTTCAAGGTTACAGTGAGCTACAATCTTAACACTGTGCTCCTGGGTCACAGAGCGAGACCCTATCTCCAAAAAAGGCTCAAAAAGCTGGGCTGAGGCCAACAGAAGTCTGCTTATGTGACTGCAATAAAGCAGTGTACGGTGAAGTGACACGGCTCTAACCACAGGTCTGCCCTGGCTGACTCACAAAGCAAACCAAAGTGATGGCTCCCTTGGAACAGTTCACCCAAAATGCGCACACCCAGAGCACGTCCTGGGGCTCTCTCAAGAGTGGCTTAGTCTCTTCCCACCCATTCCGAGGAACTGCTCATCAATGTGGCAAGCCGAAGGAAATGAGTTCAAGTCTCTGCAGGAATTGACCTCATGGACTCAGAATGCTTGATTCACATTACTTGGGAGGAGTAACCCTGAGCTTGGAGTCTGCAATTACCCTGAGAGTATCTGGGGAATGTAACAGAAAACACACAGAAATGTAACAGAAAACACACTTCAAAACGGCAATTACCAGTTTCCCTAAGTACTAGTCTGCTAGACTGTCCAAGTGCAAATGGCCCCTGCAGCCTCTGCATAACAGATTCTTATCTGAAGTGCTGGCAACCGACAAAGCCAAATCCTCCACACCCTCAACAGAGGGAAGTTCTACAGATGACCTTTTTTTTTTTTTTTTTTGAGACAGGGTCTCACTCTGTCACCCAGGCTTGAGTGCGGTGCCACGGCTCACTGTTTTGTTTTTGTTTTTTTTTGAGACAGGGTCTCACTCTGTTACCCAGGCTACAGTGCAGTGCCACGATCTCCGCTCACTGCAACCTCCGCCTCCCAGCTTCAGGGGATCTCCTGCCTCAAAGCTCTGAGTAACTGGAACCACAGGCGCGCACCACCAAACCCAGCTAATTGTTTTGTATTTTTGGTAGAGGTAGGGTTTCACCATGTAGGCCAGGCTGGTCTCAAACTCCTGGCAGATGACACTTGATTCTTAGGGAAATAAAGGTAGACACTCCCTGCAAGGACACAGGAACATTTGTTTGTTTGGAAAGGGTACTCAAAATGCAGGCCTTAAGTTCGATGGTCTGACGAAAGGTTGTGAATTATAGATAAATTCTCCTGACTACTCACACTGAAACTAAAAAAGCAACAGCAAAAGAACACTTAGCATTCTAGTCTCCTTAACTCTTACTATTCACACTTCTACCCGGTAAGTAACATTCAATTTCCCCTTTCATGGGGGGATGCAGGTAGATAAAGGTAATACCGAACAAAGCTGAATCAAAATACTTTTGCAGTAAAACCAAACCTTTGTTCAGGGACAAACTGTGGGCCTGTGTCATTTGAGAGGTTAACTTACAGAACATTTGACAAGATAACCAATTTTTACTAAACCTAGTAAAACCTCAGTAAATAACCTCTGCTAAACTTTAACAAAATCGATAAGTCACTCCAAATACCTTCTTGACAAAAAGTCCCACCCTGCCTACCCAAAGAGTCTATGAGCTGTGATGAGTGGCGTTCGCATGAAAACAAGGAACCAGCAAGGACACAACCCCGTGCTCACTCAGAACCAGCATCTGCTCAGGCACTTTTCAGATACTGCGAGTAACCAGTTACTAAAGCCACAGCAGGTACCACTCCCTGATCACAGCGCTCAGGCCAGTGGAACTCTGACTCACAGTCCTTCCCAGGCCAGCAAGCTACACAGCCACTAACAATTGGTTAGAGCTGCTATCTGCCCCGGTTTTACAATGACCAGATAATACAACCTTTGCTTACGTCACTTAAGTCCCTCTCCGCTCGCTGGTTTTCTCCTCTGTAAAATGCAATGATACCAATTCCACAGAATAATTACAATGATAAAATGAGACAACACATCTTACACACTCAGGAGAGTGAATGGCAGTGGGCACCCACTAGACCAGTTCCCTTTCCCTCCAAGAGCTTACTTTCTTTCTTTGGTCACAGAACCACATTAATCTCACTTTCTTTTTTTTAGTTTTTGGAGACAGAGTCTCGCTCTGCCACCCAGGCTGGAGTACAGTGGCACGATTTCGGCTCACTGCAACCTCCGCCTCCTGGGTCCAAGCAATTCTCCTGCCTCAGCCTCCCGAGCAGCTGGGACTACAGGCACACACCGCCACGCCCGGCTAATTTTTTGTATTTTAGTAGAGGCGAGGTTTCACTGTGTTGCCCAGGCTGGTCTCGAACTCCTGAGCTCATGCAATCCACCTGCCTTGGCCTCCCAAAGTGGTGGGATTACAGGCGTGAGCCACCACGCCCAGCCTCATAACCTCTTTCAAGACAACTTGAATAGCAAACTCCCCCTTGACTAACAATACTAACAGCCAATACAGTTAACTCCACCAGTTAAACAAAAAAATTACTAATTTGCCACAAATTCCAGCTCTCTAGAGATTTGTGCTTCCATCTTAGTAAGCAGGTGTCCAATCGTTTATCAAACCAATGGTGAATATAACAAAATAAGAGAGAACATTTAATCTACAGGGAACACCTACTTGTTCTTAAGTACAGTTGGCATCCAATTATACCGCAAACAACAAATGTGCCAATTACAAATGGCCCTTTAACTGTGACTGCTTCAGTAGAATCTATAATCCATTCATGTATGTTATTGCATCTCCTTAAAAACAAAACTGTAATTCCTCTCCTGACCTCCTCCATCATCTGACCCACACAGACCCTGTTTGTACAGTTACCTTGTACGCGTCATGACAACTGGCAGGAAGGGGTCAGGAAGTGACAGAGGGAGTTTAAACAGGAATATATGCAGAAAGAAGTGTTGGGGCAATTGTCCTAGGGAAGTGATGGGTCAGGAAGCATTCCCAGAGAAAATTACAAGATCTTCAAAAATAAAGTAAAGGCTGGGTGCGCAGGTGCCTCATGCCTATAATCCCAACACTTTGGGAGGCTGAGGCAGGAGGATCACATGGGGCCAGGAGTTCAAGACCAGCCTGGTCAACATGGTGATACCTTGTCTCTACTAAAAACACAAAAATTAGCTGGGCGTGGTGGCATACGTCGGTAAGCCCAGCTACTCGCATACGTCTGTAATCCCAGCTACTCAGTGGCTAAGGCACGAAAATCACTTGGAACCCGAGGGGTGGAACTTGCAGTAAGCCGAGATCACGCCACTGCACTCCAGTCTGGGCAACAGAGACTCTCTCTCAAAATAAAAATAAAATGGCCGGGTGCAGTAGCTAATGCCTGTAATCCCAGCACTTTGGGAAGCCAAGGCAGGCAGATCACAAGGTCAAGAGATCGAGACCATCCTGGCCAACATGGTGAAACCCCGTCTATACTAAAAATACAAAAATTAGCTGGGCGTGGTGGTATGCACCTGTAGTCCCAGCTACTGGGGAGGCCGAGGAAGGAGAATTGCTTGAACCCAGGAGGAGGAGGTTGCAGTGAGCCAAAATCACACCACTGCACTCCAGCCTGGCGACAGAGTGAGACTCCGTCTCAAAAAAAAAATAATAAAGATATGATGTAAAGATTAAAAACTAAAAAAAGATTTTAAAAAAGGAATAAAGTAAGATAGAAAGGGGGCCAGGCACACTGGCTCACACCTATAATCCCAGCACTTTGGGAAGCTGAGGGAAGAGGATCACTTGAGGTCAGGAGTTCAAGACCAGCCTGGGTAACATAGCGAGACTTCCTACAAAAAAATTAATAATTAGCTGGGTGTGGTGGCACACGCCTTAGTCCCAGCTACTTGGGAGGCCGAGGTGGGAGAATTGCTTGAGCCCAGGAGGTCAAGGCTACAGTGAGCCAAGTGTGTGCCACTGCACCCCAGCCTGGGCGACAGAGTAAGACCTTGTCTCAAAAAAAAGACAGGATGGTAGAAAAGTGGGCAGGGCATTTTAAGAGATACAGAAAAGGCAAGGCAGAAAAAGGAAGGAGCCCATGGTTTAGAGTCTGGCTTAGGCATCAAGCAGATACAGGTTCCAATGCCTGCTGATCTTAGGCAAGGTTCTTGATTCCAATTTCTCTGGAAGAATGAGGATTCAGTGAGATGAGTGCTACAATGTGGTAGAAGTGTAGCTGTGGAGATTGGTCACTTTAAAGGGTAATCAGAAGATAGGTGCTGAGGAATCTCAGGACAGGAATCTGAGGTAAGAGCTCTCAAGGCTTACACTGGTGAGGAGAGGAGTGCATAAATACTTACTTTGAGAGAACCACAAGCCCGAGGGAAATAGGTCATACAAGCCTTCATTCCTTCCAATGCTGACTGCTCACACTATAGGAAAAACAAAGTGAGAGGCCGAGAGCACCATATCACCATATTCCATCTCCCCCAGCACCCGGCAAGGGCCCTTCTCCAGAAATCACTTTTTCTCAGCCCCTCCCTCTTCTCACTTCTTCAATCCTATTCCCCAGTCATTTCCATCAACAAACTAAACAGTGTGAGAAGGTGAGGACTGTGTGGGGGACATAGGGAAGGGCCCGGGGAGACATCTCACCTCTGGCCTGAGGCCCAGCAGGGAGGTGAGAAGGCCAGGGAGGTGGTTCATGGAGATATCCCGGAACAGTGCAGGCAGCTGGGCTGCATATCGGAGGAGGTCCCTCAGGACAGCCACAGCCAGCTCCATTGTGGCAGGCGGGTCCTGGGTCTAAAGAAAAAATAGTGTCTTGTGCTTCCAGCCTCACCTCGACTGTCACCAAAGAGCAGCAGGAGGCACTGCAATACAAGCATTCTGAGAAACACCAGTTAATGTCAGCATGACCATCCAAGCCACTACCTGGCGGAAAAGAGGGCACGGAGGCATGGAGTATCCAAGAGTAACATCTCTGTCTACAGAAAGGACATGTGTTTACGTTTTACTATTAAGGGTTCTAGGGGTATCTGGGGTCCCAGGAATTTGTGTGGGGAAAAAAAGAGTAACAAAGCCATATCTTAAAGACCTGATTAACTGGAAGAGTTTTCTTTTCTTTTTTTTTTTTTGAGACAGAGTCTCACTCAGTCAGGCTGGAGTGCAGTGGCGCGATCTCGGCTCACTGCAAGCTCTGCCTCCCGGGTTCACACCATTCTCCTGCCTCAGCCTCCCGGGTAGCTGGGACTACAGGCGCCCACCATCACGCCAGGCTAATTTTTTATATTTTTACTAGAGACGGGTTTTCTTCGTGTTAGCCAGGATGGTCTCAATCTCCTGACCTCGTGATCCGCCCGTCTCGGCCTCCCAAAGTGCTGGGATTACAGGTGTGGGCCACCGCGCCTGGCCGAGTTTTCTTTTCTTTTTGAGACAGGGTCTTGCTCTGTACCCCAGGATGGAATGCACTGAGGCAATCTCAGCTCACTGCAACCTCTGACTCCCGGGTTCAAGCGATTCTCATGCCTCAGCCTCCTGAGTAGCTGGGATTACACGCATGGACCATCATGCCTGGCATATTTTTGTATTTTTAGTAGAGACAGGGTTTTGCCACATTGGCCAGGCTGGTCTTGAACTCTCAGAGTCATGTGATCCGCCCACCTCAGACTCCCAAAGTGCTAGGATTATAGGCGTGAGCCACGGTGCCCAGCCCCCCCCCCTTTTTTTTTTTCACTTTGAGACAAAGTCTCACTCTGTCACCCAGGCTAGAATGCAGAGGCGCAATCTCGGCTCACCGCAGCCCTAGAAGAATTTTCCAATGATCTCATACTAATGTTCCCTGCTAGAAAGGGAGAAGAGCACTTTTCAGACTGAAAACTAAGCCTCAGTCATAACAAAACTGCCCCACCTCTCTGAAGTTGCTACTAGCTGGCTCAAACTCACCCTGGAACTCATGGAGAAAAAAAGTTTGAATTTAAAAGGACTTCCTTAGAAAATTAATATATATCTAAGGAAAAAGCATCCAGCACATATCTCCTGCTAGACGAGAGGAGGCTATGTGTCAAAAAAAAAGAGAATACTTACGAAGCAAAAACAGGCAGGCCTACCAACGACACACAGGCCCTCATCACTGTCCAGTAATCCTACCGCATTTCTCTCTGGTTAACTCTGCTACTTAAGTTTTCTCCTCCAACTCCCAACTCGCTACTTCTCCCACCACTGTCACCTGCTTAACCTTGCTCATAACTTCACAGAAAAAACTGAAGCCCCGAGATAATTACAAGGAACTATAAAAACAGCAATTACTTTTGCACCAACCTAATAAAACAGCCTTCGCTTCCCACTCCCAAACCTCGAAATTTCATCTTCACACTATCCACTCTCTCCTGCCCTCTTCCTACCCAAAGACAGTCCCTCCACTGTGCTTTCAATACTGTCCCCTCCCTTCCTCTCAGAACCTTACACTTTCACTGGCTTTATCTCCCTTGAATTTCTAACCAGTCCCCATCACACGGACTCTTCCCACTGACATTTATACAGCTCAAGTCTCTCCCATCTTAAAAAGGCTTGTCTTTTTCATTTTATTTATTGATTGATTTTGAGATGCAGTTTCCCTCTGTAGCCCAGGCTGGAGTGCAGCGGCATGATCTTGGCTCACTGCAACCTCCGCCTCCTGGGTCCTTGTTCAAGTAATTCTCCTGCCTCAGCCTCCCTAGTAGCTGGGATTACAGGCACACACCACCATGCCCGGTTAATTTTTGTATTTTTAGTAGAGATGGGATTACACCATGTTAGCCAGGCTGGTCTTGAACTCCTGACCTCATTATCTGCCTGCCTCAGCCTCCCAAAGTGCTGGGATCACAGGCATGAGCCACCGAAAAAGTCTTTTCTCGAGCCCATACTTCACTTGCCAAATCCCAGTAATCACCCCATTTCTCTCTCTCATCATCCATTAGAGCCCAGCATCTTGAAAGGATTTCCCATCTTCCCTCCTTCCGTTTCCCTTCTCCCATTTGCTTCTCATCCCGAGCCAGTCTGGCTTCAGCATCCACTGCTCCAGCAGAACCACTCTCACTATGGTCTTACCACCCATGCTGATAACCTGATCAACGATTCTCAGTCTGCATCTTGTCCCACCTCAGGAGGCACATACAGAAATAACTCCTCCCTCATCCCTCAAGGGGTCTTCACTTGGCCCCCTCCAGCCCACAATCCTGGTTATCTTCTTCTTGCTGTTGGCCTGTCTCAGTCTCCTTCGTAAGTTCATCTTCCTCTACCTGACCATTAAGTGTGATGTGCTTTAAAATCCAGTCCATAAAAGGACTTATTTTGATAATCTCATCCTCAGTTTCAACTGCCATCTAAACACTGAAGACTCTTCCCCCTAGTAAAAGATGCCAGGCCAGGCATGGTGGCACACACCTATAATCCCACACTTTGGGAGGCCAAGGTGGGAGGACTGCTTAAGCCCAGGAGTTTGAGACCAGCCTGGACAACATAGCAAGAACCCATCTGTACAAAAACATTTTTTTAATTACTAGTGGGTGGTGGTGTACGCCTGTAGTCTCCGCTATTGGTGGGGGCGGTGGGGGTACTGATGTCAGCACAAAATGTCAAGGCTACAGTGAGCCATAATCACAACACTATATTCCAGCCCGGGTGACAAAATGAAACCATGTCTTAAAGAAAAAAAAAGAACAAAAAAGGGCTGGGATTGGTGGCTCCTGTAATCCCACACTTTGGAAGGCCGAGGTGGGTGGATCACCTGAGGCCAGGAATTCAAGACCAGCCTGGCCAACATGGCGAAACCCCGTCTCTACGAAAAATACAAAAATTAGCCAGGTATGGTGATGGGCGCCTGTAATCCAGCTATTAAGGAGACTGAGACAGGAAAATCGCCTGAACCTGGGAGGCGGAGGTTGCAGTGAGCCAAGACTGGGCCACTGCTCTCCAGCCTGGGCCACACAGCTAGACTCCATCTCAAAAAAAAAAAAAAAAAAGGGCCGGGCGCGGTGGCTCAAGCCTGTAATCCCAGCACTTTGGGAGGCCGAGACGGGCAGATCACGAGGTCAGGAGATCGAGACCATCCTGGCTAACACGGTGAAACCCCGTCTCTACTAAAAAATACAAAAAACTAGCCGGGCGAGGTGGCACGCACCTGTAGTCCCAGCTACTTGGGAGGCTGAGGCAGGAGAATCGCTTGAACCTGGGAGGCAGAGGTTGCAGTGAGCCGAGATCACGCCACTGCACTCCAGCCTGGGCGACACAGCAAGATTCCATCTCAAAAAAAAAAAAAAAAAAAAAAAAGAAGTATCTTCAACTAGAACAGGAATCAGCAAATGATGGTCTTTGGGTGCCTGTTTTTGCATAGCCCACAAACTAAGAATGGCTTTTACATTTTAAAGGATTGGAAAACAAACAATATACAATAGAAACTATATGTGGTTCAAAAAGCATAAACACTTCCTATTTGCAAACATATACTTCACAGAAAAAGTGCTAGACTCTGAGCACCAAGAAAGCAGGGCCACGTACATCTCGCTGTCTCCCCAGAGCTTGGTACACCCCAGGCCTGCCGTATGTGCTTAGAAATGCTTGTTAAATAACTAAGTGGAGATGTTACCAAAGGATGTAAAAGTAGGGGAAAAAATTAAGACGTTAAAAGAGTAACAAGTATTACCAACCCACAACCAACCTTATACTGAACAGGAAACAGTTGAAAGCATTCCCCTTGAGAACAGGAACAAGACAAGGACGCCCACTTTCACCACTTCTATTCAATACAGTACTGGAAGTCCTAGCCAGAGCAATTAGACAAGAAAAAGAAAGAAAGGGCGTCTAGGCCAGGCGCAGTGGCTCACACCTGTAATCCTAGCACTTAGGGAGGCCAAGGCAGTCAGATCACCTGAGGTCAGGAGTTCGAGACCAGACTGGCCAACATGGCAAAACCCTATCTCTACTAAAAATACAAAAATTAGCCAGGCGGGGTGGCAGGCGCCTGAATCCTGCCTACCTGGGAGGCTGAGGCAGAAGAAATGCTTGAACCCAGGAGGCAGAGGCTGCAGTGAGACAAGACTGTGCCACTGCACTATAGCCTGGGCAACAGAATGAGAGACTCCATCTAAAAAAAAAAAACCAAAACAAAAAAAAGAAGAAGAAATAAAGGACATCTAAATCGGCAGAGGAAGTCAAACTGTCGCTATTCACCAGTGATAAGAACATATACCTAGAAAACCCTAAAGACTCATCCAGAAAGCTCCTAGAGCTAATAAATGAAGCCAGTGAAGGTTCAGGATACAAAATCAATGTATACACATCAGCAGCACTGCTGTACGCCATCAGCAACCAAGCTGAGAATAAAATCAAGAACTCAACCACTTTTACAACAGCTGCAAAAAAATTAAAATACTTAGGACTATACCTAACCAAGGAGGTGAAAGATCTCTACAAGGAAAAGTACAAAACACAGGTGAAAGAAATCATAGACGACACAAACAAATGGAAACATGTCCCATGCTCTTGGATAGGTAGAATCAATATTGTGAAAATGGCCATACTGACAAAAGCAATCTACAAATTCAACGCAATTCCCACCAAAATACCACCATCATTCTTCACAGAACTAGAAAAAACAATCCAAAAATTCACATGGAACCAAAAAAGATCCCACAAAGTCAAAGCAAGGCGAAGCAAAAAGAACAAATCTGGAGGCATCACATTACCTGACTTGAAAATATACAACAAGGCTACAGTTACCAAAACAGCATGATACTGATATAAAAATAGGCACCTAGACCAATCGAACAGAAGGGAGAACCCAGACATAAAGCCAAATACTTACAGCCAACTGATCTTCAACAAAGCAAAAAACATAAAGTGGGCAAAGGACACCCTTTTCAACAAATGGTTCTGGGATAATTGGCAAGCCACATGTAGAAGAATGAAACGGGATCCTCATCTCTCACCTTACACAAAAATCAGCTCGAGATGGATCAAAGACTTAAATCTAAGACCTGAAACCATAAACATTCTAGAAGATAACATCAGAAAAACCCTTCTAGACATTAGCTTAGGCAAAGAGTTCATGACCAAGAACCCAAAAGCAACAAAAACAAAGATAAATAGATGGGACTTAACTAAAAAGTCTCTGCACAGCAAAACAAATAAAATCAGTAAACAACCCACAAAGCGGGAGAAAATCTTCACAAACTATGCATCTGACAAAGGACTAACATCCAGAATTTGCAAAGAATTCAAACAAATCAGCCAGAAAAAAACAAATAATCACATCAAAAAGTGAGCAAAGGACATAAACAGGCAATTCTCAAAAGAAGATACACAAATGGCCAACAAACATATGAAAAAATGCTCAACATCACTACCATTTGATCCAGCAATCCCACTACTGGACATCTACCCAGAGGAAAAGAAGTCACTATATGAAAAAGACACTTGCGCACAATATTTTATAGCAGCACAATTCACAATTGCAAAAATATGGAACCTGCCTAAATACCCATCAGCCAACAAGTGGATAAAGAAAATGTGGTATAGGCCAGGAGTGGCGGCTCATGCCTGTAATCCCAGCACTTTGGGAGGCCAAGGCAGGCGGATCATGAGGTCAGGAGTTCGAGACCTACCTGGCAAACATGGTGAAACCCCATCTCTACTAAAATTTTAAAAATTAGCCAGGCATGGTAGTGCACACTTGTAATCCTAGCTACTCAGGAGCCTGAGGCAAGAGAATTGCTTGAACCCAGGAGGCAGACATTGCAGTGAGCTGAGATCGTACCACTGCACTCCAGCCTGGGCGACAGAGCGAAACTCTGTATCAGAGATAGATAGATAGATAGATAGATAGATAGATAGATAGATAGATAGATAGATAGATAGAAAGAAAGAAAATGTGGTGTATATATACCATGGAATACTACTCAGCCATAAAAAGGAACAAAATGATGGCATTAGCAGGAACCTGGATGGCATTGGTGACCATTAATCTAAGTGAAGTAACTCAAGAATGAAAAACCAAACATCATTATGTTCTCACTTACAACTGAGAGTTAAGCTACAAGGACGCAAAGGCATAAAAATTATATAATGAACTCTTGAGGACTCAGGAGGAAGGGTGGGAGATGGGTGAGGGATAAAAAACTACATATTGAGTACAATGTACACTGCTCAGGTGATGGGTGCACCAAAATCTCAGAAATCACCACTAAATAAATTATCCATGTAACCAAACACCACCTGTTCCCCCAAAAATATGAAATAAAAATATACATATAGGCTGGGTGCAGTGGCTCACACCTGTAATCCCAGCACTTTGGGAGGCTGAGGCAGGCGGATCACTTGAAGTCAGGCATTTGAGAGCAGCCTGGCCAACATGTTAAAGCCTCGTCTCTACTAAAAATACAAAAATTAGCCAGGCATGGTGGCAGGGGCCTATAATCCCAGCTACTCAGGAGGCTGAGGCAGGAGAATCACTTGAACCCAGGAGGCAGAGATTGCAGTGAGCCCAGATCATGCCATTGCCCTCCAGCCTGAGTGACAAAGCGAGACTCCATCTCAAAAAAAAAAAAAAAAAAAAGGTTTCTATTTGAAGCTTATCCTCTCCACTATCAGGGAATTGTTTTCCAATTATTCTGTCCTCAGAACTACATGTTCAAGTTGAAAAGAACATGCCACATCCAAGATGGGGAATAAGGTGGGGGAAGAGGAGGAAGTAGGGCAGCAGCTGAATCCTCACCTGTAACACCTGCTGAATGCTCCGAAGCCAAGACACACAGTGCTGCTGGAATAGCTCTGTGGGGCTCTCCCCTACCAGCAGGGACAGCAGACACAGGCCCTCGAACCTTCGAAGAAACAAGAGAGTCATGATAAGTGGGCAGAGGCTAGACTTCCGAGACAGCGACTGACTGCTCTTTTATTCTCACTAGGCTACAGAAAGACTTCACTCCCAGTCCACTGTGGTTTCCAACTCCCGAAATATTTGGAGTGAGGTGGAAGAAGCAAAGAAAGAAGGCAGCAGAGATCCCAGGGGAAATAGGACGTCTGGGAGCTGGAAAAGGTAGGGTTCAAATCAAGTGAGCTCACACAAGGAATGTAACTGTCCACATTCTTGGGAATAGAGAGAGGTCTTGAATCCTGGGGGCAGTGACAATGAAAGGAAAGATGTACATATGCCCACTTCCTAAGGGAACACGCCCCTGGAGAAGAAACAGGGCCAAAGACTTACCGAGTTTTGATGGAACTGAGACGTGCATTACTGAGACTCACCAATGCCCCAAGAGCTGAAAGGTTCTGGGGGAAAGAAAACGGGGAAGCGAGTCACAAACGGGATGTTAAAAATGCAGAAGATTCTCCAAGCCCTTCTCTGTCCCAGCACCCAGGAAGCCTTTCTGAAGTCGCACCTCCTCTGAGGCCAAAAGGCCATCCCATTAGAAGCCTTAGGCTTTTCCCTTTTTCCTGTGGGAAAGTTATATTTCACCTGATCCCTCCCCCCATGCCCCACCCAAGTAGTCCCAAACAGGACAGCCCAACTAATCCTACTACCAGACTTCAAAGATGGGTCTGCTTCACCTCTGTATGTCTGGACAGCACCTAACATAGGATACATCCATAAATGCTTTTGCTGAATGGACACTGAACTCATCCATTATCCTTCCTTCACCCTCAAACAAATCCTCCTCCTCCTGTTCCTGGCTTCCTTACAGCTGTAAAAATGCCAACATAGACCGAGTCAACCAGAATCCTCCTTCCAGTTCTCCCCTTCTCTCACATTCTGGAAGCCCACGAAAGATGTTTCCTCAACAGCCTCCCAGGTAACCTCTCCATGCCCTGAATGGCCAGCCTCCTCTCACGGCACCCGCATCTCCCTAACAGCATGCATCGCTCCTTCTTCCAACACACACACTATGCACGAGGTTAGGTGAAGGAATACAGAGCTGAACAAAATTAATAAGGTGTCTCCCTTTTGTGGAGGGAAATGTTTATTCATTTGTTCAATAAATATTTACTTCACATGGCTGGGAGCGGTGGCTCATGCCTGTAATCCCAGCACTTTGGGAGGCCAAGGCGGGCGGATCACGAGGTCAGGAGAGCGTGACCCTCCTGGCTAACACGGTGAAACCCCATCTCTACTGAAAATACAAAAAATTAGCCAGGCGTGGTGGTGGGCGCCTGTAGTCCCAGCTACTCGGGAGGCTGAGGCAGGAGAATGGCGTGAACCCAGGAGGTGGAGCTTGCAGTGAGCCAAGATGGCGCCACCGCACTCCAGCCTGGGCAACAGAGCCAGACTGTCAAAAAAAAAAAAAAAATTTACTTGACATATACCTCATGTGAGACCTTGTTTTAGGTGCCAGATGCTTATTTTCTAGGTAGAAGAAACAGAAAATAAACAACTGACAAAGTAAATACATAGTATATCAGAGGGTGCTAAGAACTCCAAGGAAAAATAAAGCAGAGTAAGGAAGGAAAGGAGTGCCCAGAGTAGGTAAAGAGGACAGGATTTAATGTAGGAGAATAGGTACAAAAAGCATCTCCAAAAAGGCCATTTAGGCCAGCCTGGGCAACAGAGTGAGACTCTGTCTCAAAAAAAAAAAATCAATCAATCAACCAATCAATAATAAAAAAATACAATGTTAAATTGTATGGTTTGTGAATTATATCTCAATAAAGCTGCTTTGGCCAGGCATGGTGGCCTGTAATCCCAAAATTCTGGGAAACCAAGGCAGACGAATCACTTGAGGCCAGGAGTTCCAGCCCGGGCAACACAGCAAGACCCCATCTCTACAGAAATTTTTAAAAATAAGGCAGGTGCAGTGGCATGTACCTGCAGTCCCAGCTACTCTAGGGAGACTGAGGCAGAAGGATCGCTTGAATCCAGGCGTTCAAGGCTGCAGTGAGCTATGAACACATTACTACACTCTAGCCTGGGCAAAAGAGTGAGACTCTCTCTTTAAAAAAAATAAAATAAAATCTGGCCGGGAGCAGTGACTCACACCTGTAATCCCAGCACTTGGGAAGGCCAAGGCGGGTGGATCACTTGAGGTTAGGAGTTTGAGACCAGCCTGGTCAACATGGCAAAACTAATCTAAAATTCTACTAAAAACACAGAAGTTACCCAGACGTGGTGGTGTGGTTTCGCCATATTGGTCAGACTGGTCTTCAACTCCGCACCTCAAGTGATCCGCCTGCCTTGGCCTCCGAAAGTGCTGGGATTACAGAAGTGAGCCACCGTGACCAGCCTAATGAAGCTGTTTTTATAAAAAGGCATACTGATAACCATAAAAAAAAAGAGTGTTCCAGGAAAAGAAAAAAACAGAGGCTGGGCAAGGGGCTTATGACTGTAATCCCAACACTGGGAGGCCAAGGCAGGAGGATCACTTGAGCCCAGGAGGTCAAGATCAGCCTGTGCAACTGAGGGAGACCCCATCTGCACAAATAATTTTTTAAAATTAGCCAGATGCGGTGGAGGGCACCTGTGGCCACAGCTACTTGGGAGGCTAAGGTGGGAGGTTTGCTTGACCCCAGGAAGCCAAGACTGCAGTGAGCCACGATCGCCACCACTGCACTCCAGCCTGAACGGCAAAGCAAGATCCTGTCTCCTTTTTTTTTTTTTTTTTTTTGAGACAGAGTTTCGCTCTTTTTGCCCAAGCTGGAGTGCAATGGCACGATCTCGGCTCACCGCAACCTCCGCCTCCCGGGTTCAAGCAATTCTCCTGCCTCAGTCTCTCAGGTAGCTGGGATTATAGGCATTCACCACCATGCCCAGCTAATTTTGAAATTTAGCAGAGATGGGGTTTCTCCATGTTGGTCAAGCTGGTCTTGAACTCCAGACTTTAGGTGATCCACCTGCCTCAGCCTCCCAAAGTGCTGGGATTACAGGTGTGAGCCACTGCACCCAGCCTCCGATTCTGTCTCAAAAAAGAAAAATAAAAAGAGCGAAGACTACGAGATGACAGCACACTTGGTATTTCTGAAGAACAGCAAGGAGACAAATTGTTGCTGGAGAAAAGTGAGCAAGGTGGAGAGGAGTAACCAACGATGAAGGTAGTAGGGCCAGACTGTGCAGAGCCATATAGGTGATTACAGACTTTCGCTCTGAATAAGATAAAAGCCGTGAAGGGGAGAGAGAAATTGAGCAGAGGAGTGATAATATCTGACTTCTGGTTTGCTTTTTTTTTTTTTTTTAACCAACAGCATTTGTGTTGTCTTGTTGAGAAGAAGCACACAGATGAGGTAGGAGGTTACTGTAATATGCCAGACAAATGATGATGCAGCTTGAAGAATGTGGTAACTGTGGAGATACAGAGCAGTCAAAATCAGGATGTATTCTGAAGGCAGAGCCAACAGGATTTGCCATCAAATTGGATTTGGGTGGAAAATAAAAAGAAGGGTCCAAGATAACGCCAAGGTTTTTTGCTGAGCAACTAGAAAGATGAAGCTGCCATTCACGAAGAAGGGAACTAATGCAGGAGGAGCAGGTTTGGGGATGACAATCAGGAGTTCAGTTTCAGAGCTGTTCAATCTGTGATGTGTATTTAGCACGAAAATGGAGATGCCAAATAGCCACTGGGTAGACAAGTCTGAAGAGAACTCCTGGCTGGAGATGCAAACTCAGGAGTTGTTGGCCTTGAGACTGGATCAGTTCACCAAGGGAATGAGAACAAAGAGAGAAGAGAAACAGTGCAAGCACTGTTGTAGGCACTCAAACCTTCAGAGGTCACAGAGGTGAGGAGGGATCAGTTTTTACTGGAAAGGAGTAACCAGTGTGGTAACAGGAGAATCAAGAGAGGAGAGGAGCTGGGAGAGGTGACTCATGCCTATCATCCCAGTACTTTAGGAGGCCAAAGTGGGAAGACTGCTTGAGCTCAAGAGTTCAAGGCCAGCCTCAGCAACATAGCGAGACCTCTTCTCTACTAAAAATCAAACAAATTAGTTGGGTGTGGGCGTACACACCTGTGGTCCCAGCTACCCAGAAGGCTGAGGAGGGAGGACTGCCTCAGCCTGGGAGATCAAGGTTGCAGTGAGCTATGATCGCACCACTGCACTCCACCCTGGGCAACACAGCGAGACCGTCTCAATGAAACAAACAAAAACAAAAACAAAAAGACAGGGGAGAGACATCCCAGAAGTCAAGTGAAGACAGTTTTTTAAACAGGAAAGTATAATTAATTGTATCAAATGGTACAGGTAAGTCAAATATGATGATCCAAATTGACCTTTGAACTTAACGTCTTGATGGACACCAGTGATCTTCAAGAGTTACCATTTCACCCAGCAAAGGGTTGTTTCGGCAGCATTGAGGCTAAAAGCCTGAATGTAATGAGTTCAACGGAACAACCATCATAGTAATAATTCATTCAGGAAAGAACCTTTAATAGATGTTAAAATGAGTGGGTGAAAGGTTGACAAGATCTAAGATATTCACATTATCTCCCCCAAGACACTTAATTACAAATGAAAAACATCATACCGTTATAACAGTGAAAACACCTGGCAGAGACCCGCTTAACCTACAGCACATGCTCCTGATAAGATGCACCAAGAATGACATGTCATTTCTGCAGGGTTTTTTTCTTTTTTGTAGAGACGGGGTCTTGCCATGTTGCCCAAGCTAGTCTTGAACTCCTGCGCTCGCTGATCCTCCCACTTCGGCCTCCCCACTGAGCCTCTGAATCTCATGCTGGGATAACAGGCACGAGCCACTGCACCTGGACGACTTCTGTGGTCTTCTTGCTGAAAACGCACAAAGCTCCAGTTTAATTTGTCTGTTGTTTCCTCATGATTAGATTCCAATCTGAGGGGCATCCTACAAAATAACTATCCTGTACTCTTTAAAAATATCAAGATCATAAGACAAAGGCGGAAGAACTATTTCAGATTAAAGAAGACTAAAGAGACATTATAACTAGATGCAAGCTGGGCGCAGTGGCTCATGCCAGCACTTCGGGAGGACAAGGTGGGTGCATCATCTGAGGTCAGGAGTTCCAAGACCAGCCTGGCCAACATGGTGAAACCCCATCTCTACTAAAAAATAATAAAAATAAAAATAAAAAATTAGCCGGGCATGGTAGCAGGCGCTTGTAATCCCAGCTACTTGGGAGGCTAAGGCAGGAGAATCGCTTAAACCCAAGCGGCGGAGGTTCCAGTGAGCCAATATCATGCCACTGCACTCAACCTATGTGACAGAGTGAGACTGTCTCAAAAGAAACAAAAGCAAAACAACAACAACAAACTAAATGCAATGTGTGACCCTGCATTAAATCCTGGACTAGAAATTTTGTTGTTGTTGTTGT